TTGTCAGCAAACATGATGTTACTTATCTCCATGTAATGAAATTAGCTTCGCTTTCTCATGGCTTCTGAATGACCAGGTTGCTGCTAAAGGTTAACCTTTCTCTGACCAGTGGGTGACCTGATTTGCAACACGGAGACTATAAGGGGACTCCCCATAGCACTAAAACCCAAACTCCTTGATGCTTCTTCTTCAGTTATTGGCACTGCAGAGGAGTCACCACTGCCTTCTGAGGAAAATCTTTTATCCCTATAGTCCCTTTTCTGCTTTCCTTCCAAATTTGTTGTCCTAGAGGGAATGTAAAGCAAGCAACAGCAAGATGAACTAATATCGTACCCCCTAGGATGGCAGGAAATTAAACATGGGGGATAACTCCACTTGGTGCTGGTGTACAGCTCTTGTCAACAGTTCAAAAGGAAAACAGAACCTCACAAGGCTTTTACAGCTATCTCCTGAGGGAACATTCTTCCTCTGCTTGAATAATCCTTAAAGGAGAATTACTAAAATGTATGCCAGATGCACTGGACGGGCTTTGAAAGGGATGGTGTGATTTTTTTGGGGGGGAGGGGAAAACCAAACCTCACCCTCTGCAATAAATTGAGGCTGGGTATGTTGGACATGGTCATCTTATTTCTAATAAGTTTTGTTTTACTGTTGGGCCAAGCTTTCAGTTCCTAGGCAAAAATCTTTTGACCTCTATATACTAACTTGATAGAGTTACCATCATTTCATCCCATAGCATTGTCTGTATCAGTGTTTCCTAGGCATAATGGTTTAGCAGCTTTCTCCCTTGGTGACATTGTAAACTAGAAAATGGCGCTCAGATGTTATTCCTGCCTGTCACGCCACTCGGCATGTTGGGGGGGAAAGGCTGCAGACTAAATAGGACATTTTTGCAAGCTGAATAGTTTGCAAATATGGCATCTTTAGCAGCAACACAACAGACAGAAATTCAGTAGGTGACCCTTCTAGCAGCATGGAAGCTCAACAATTGTGAAAGCTGCACTTGTTGAATTTCTACCTTTCAAACAACTAGTTTGTTAAGAGTAACTGCAGCGCTCTGAGCAAATAAAATACAGATTATTATTTTTGCCTGGGGGGGGGTCATGACTGTAAACATGGTAGAGCTTTAAACTTATGGTAAACCAAGACAATCATGCAGTATATTGAACAGGTGAATAGCCAATTTGGTGCAGTGGTTAAGAGCAGTGGACTCGTTATCTGGTGAACCAGGTTTGCTTCCCTGCTCCTCCACATGCAGCTGCTGGGTGACTTTGGGCCAGTCACACTTCTCTGAAGTCTCTCAGCCTCACTCACCTCACAGAGTGTTTGTTGTGAGGGAGGAAGGGAAGGAGATTGTTAGCGTTTTGAGACCTCCTTAAGGGGAGTGAAAGGCGGGATATCAAGTCCAAACTCCTCCTCCTCCTCTTTTCTTCTTCTTCTTCTTCTTCTTCTCTTCTTCTTCCTTCCTTCCTTCTTCCTTCCTTCCTTCCTTCCTTCCTTCCTTCCTTCCTTCCTCTTATTTTTGAAAATAATTTTTATTTGATTTTACAAGTGTAGAGTTATAACAATACCAAATAAAAATCAACATTTAGAGATTTCTCCGAATCTCTAGACTTCCTTCTATCCCCTCCTCGGGTCTTATTGTCAACGTTATGACCTGCATCTTATTTCATAATCCATATTTTAAATCTGTCCATATTGCCCATAATACTTGTTACATTACAAGTGTTATAAAACCATGCTAATGTTTTCATCTGCTTACAGTGGTCTCCTAGCTTGGCTTGGTTTGCTATTCCTCTCTGGACAGGACTTTATCTTCCTTCCATCTCTGGGCTAAGTAACATCTGCGCGGCTTTTGTTCCATGCATAAAAAGCCTTTTCTGATCCTTTGGAATATCGGCACCTACATTCCTAATAAAAACACTTCTGGTTTTTAAATAAAAGATATTTTAAACCATTTTTTTTTCATTTCATTCTATATCATTTCCCAGAATGCTTTCGTTACCTTACACGACCACCACATACAATAAAAGGTACCTTCTTTTTCCTTACATCTCCAGCAGGTATTTGTACTATTCTTACACATTTTTGCTAACTTACTAGGAGTCAGATACCACCTGCACATCATTTTTGTTTAGTTTTCTTTCAGCGTACAACAAGCCATGAATTTCAAATTGGTGTTCCATAACCTTTCCCAATCTGAAAGTTGAATATTGTGCCCCAAATCCCTCTCCCAGTGTATCATTGCTGATTTTACCTGACTTCTTTCCCTTTCTGTTCCAGTCTGAAGATTCGGATCTGCCTTACCCTCCGCCCCAGAGAGAGCCGAACATCTTCATGGTACCTCAGGGGATCAAGCCCGTCCTTCAGCGTACAGCCATTGAGGTGGGTGCCGGAGGCCACGTGAGCCATGCCTGGGGGGCCACAAACAATGCTCTGGGAGAGAGAAACTTTCATTTGATATGATCAGGCGCAATGCATCGGTTCTGACAATACGATGCTGATTTTTGATGGGTCGGTGACTCCCTGGTCTGGAATGGGGTAACTGTGCCCCTGAAGGACCAAGTGCGTAGCCTGGGAGTCATCTTGGACTCACAGCTATCCATGGAGGCGCAGGTCAATTCTGTGTCCAGGGCAGCTGTTTATCAGCTCCAGCTGGTACGCAGGCTGAGACCCTTCCTGCCCGTGGACTGTCTGGCCAGAGTGGTGCATGCTCTAGTTATCTCTCACTTGGACTACTGCAATGCACTCTATATGGGGCTACCTTTGAAGGTGACCCGGAAACTACAACTAATCCAGAATGCGGCAGCCGGGACCACATTACACCGATCAGAAGGTCGGCGGTTTGAATCCCTGTGACTGGGTGAGCTCCTGTTGTTCAGTCCCAGCTCCTGCCAACCTAGCAGTTTGAAAGCACGTCAAAGTGACTGGGAGTGGCCGCCGGGACCACATTACACCAGTCTTGAAAGACCTACATTGGCTCCCAGTACGTTTCCGAGCACATTTCAAAGTGTTGGTGTTGACCTTCAAAGCCCTAAACGGCCTCGGCCCAGTAGACCTGAAGGAGCATCTCCACCCCCATCGTTCTACCCAGACACTGAGGTCCAGCTTCGAGGGCCTTCTGGCGGTTCCCTCCCTGTGAGAAGTGAAGTTACAGGGAACCAGGCAGAGGGCCTTCTCGGTGGTGGCACCCACCCTGTGGAACGCCTTCCCATCAAATGTCAAAGAGAAGAACTACCAAACTTTTAGAAGACATCTGAAGGCAGCCCTGTTTAGGGAAGCTTTTAATGTTTGATGCATTACTGTATTTTAATATTCGGTTGGAAGCCACCCAGAGTGGCTGGGGAAGCCCAGCCAGATGGGCGGGGTAAAAATAATAAATTATTATTATTATTATTATTAACAGCCATGTTCCCCTTACTGAGAAGTTTGACCCCTTTCCCCTCTTTGCTTTGAGGGGTTTCCTGCCCCCATAATATGGGGTTCTGCTTTATCCCAAGCCAGACCATTCGTCTGCCCAGCTTAGCTTGGTCCTCACTGACCAACAGCAGCTCTCTGGGGCACGTACCTGGCTCGCCCTGGAGGTGCTCTTGGGAATTTGAACCTGGAACCTTCCGCGTGAAAAGCAGGTACTCTCCTACTGAGTTATGGCCCTTCCCTAACAACCTACACCAAAGGCAAATCAAATTACAGGAATTGGTGGAGACGGCTCAATTGACTAGTAAACTCAGAGGAAACTCAAAGCAAAAATTTCCGGAAAAATGGGATGGTTATAGAAGATATGTTCAAAAATACAATAATAGTTTTGACTCCATGCTAGCATTCGAGTGATAAAGGAACCAAGAGGAGGTGGATAACAATTAAGGATTTATTATGTTTTCAGAATGTATTAGAAAAATTATATAGAAAGGTTTATTGTTTTGTGTACATTCAAATGTAAGATAAAATATATGCAAAGGGACTTGACAGGAAGTCAAAGTTGAAGAAAAGATTTTGGAAGATAAAAAGGGGAAAAAATATTTACTTTCATTGTTATCATTTTGGGTGTGTTGTTGTATGCAATGTTTGGGAGGAAATAAGATGGTAAATAAGATGTTTTCGAGGTTACCAGCATGAGTTTGACCAAACTGCGGGAGGTAGTGGAGGACAGAGGTGCCTGGCGTGCTCTGGTCCAGGGGGTCACGAAGAGTCGGACACGACTAAACGACTAAACAACAACAAAAGATGGTAAATAAATGAGTAGAAGGGAGAACCATTCCACCACCTTGAGATCCTTGGAGAAAATGGTGGAAAGTGAATGCGTTAAATTGATTTGGCCACGCTGAGTTGCCACGTCAAGGAATTTCTCATTTTCTCAACCGTTTCCTCTCTTCTATGACCGCACACCTTTGGGTGCCATTTCCTTTTTGAGAATAATTTTTATTAGTTTTCAATTACAATAATCCAATCATAGCCTCATTATAGCAATGCCAAATTATAATGCAATTACCAATGCCAATCACTCAGATACCAAATTATACAATATAGGTGCCCCTCCATGTGCTAGAATTGATAGTTTGATGATTTACTTTATTTCTGCATTCCAAAATCTTATTCATTTCAATTACACTCCAGTCAAAATAAGAATCCCTTATACAACAACTGCAATTTTAATGACTTCCATTCCTATTGACATATTTACAAATCTATAGGTGAAGCATTCAAGCTATATCCTTGTTCTTCCTGTGTGTGGCAATTATTCTGTCCATGATGTTTCTTCCTGTTGTAAAATATTCTGTCTATCTTTCCCAGTTGTTGCTGTTCTCCATCATGCCTTGGGCGGAGCTGATATCCCATTGTGGTTTCAGAAGTTCTCCATTGCTCCGCCCTGTGTGTCATTGGTTTGCAACTTCAGCAGCAGCAGCTGAAAAATCGCACTGTCCCAATAAATATTCTGTTTTCGCCATTTTTCTCTCAGCCTGGGAAGGAGAGCGATCTGTCAAGCTTCAAATAACTCAGTAATGAACCTTACCTTGGCAAGCTCACAGGTTCCTTTCATCCCTCCGCTCAGCCGAAGATAAGCAATTATACTTCTTTCCTTTTGTCCTTCCCGAATTTAGATATTGGCTTGGGGGCTCCGGAACCTGAAAAGCTACCAGCTGGCCAGCGTGACGTCTCCCAGTCTCCTGGTGGAGTGTGGAGGACAGATGGTTCAGTCGTGTGTCATCAAGAACCTCAAGAAGAACCCCAACTTTGACATCTCTGTCCTCTTCATGGAAGTGGTGAGAGGCCGTCGTTTCTGCTTCGTCTTGGCTCTGCATGCTCATCACACCTTTCTCTTGCCATTCTTGGCTGGAGAATCACCTTTGCTCTTTGAATCATATAATCAAAGAGTCGGAAGGGACCCTGAGATCATCTAGTCCAACCCCCTCTTCCATCTTTATACTATTGTAGATAATAACATGAGGGATGTGGGTGGCGCTGCGGGTTAAACCACAGAGCCTAGGACTTGCTGATCAGAAGGTTGGCGGTTCGAATCCCTGCGACGGGGTGAGCTCCCGATGCTCGGTCCCTGCTCCTGCCCACCTAGCAGTTCGAAAGCACGTCAAAGTGCAAGTAGATAAATAGGTACCACTTTGGCGGGAAGGGAAACGGCGTTTCTGTGCGCTGCTCTGGTTCGCCAGAAGCGGCTTAGTCATGCTGGCCATATGACCCGGAAGCTGTATGCCGGCTCCCTCGGCCAATAAAGTGAGATGAGTGCCACAACCCCACAGTCGGCCACGACTGGACCTAATGCTCAGGGGTCCCTTTACCTTTACCTTTAGATAATAACATTGCACTGCTTGAAATAATAGGATGCATAAAAGCTGACTCCTTTTGGAATCAAAATGGTCCAGACCCATAAATGTGCTTCAAAGCATATTTACGTACTAACCAGAACTCCTTCAAAACAGGTACAAATCAATCTATGACACATCCAAGCAATTCCAAAAGTCTTCTGCTTGTCCAAGCATGGGTTCTTTTTCTTCAATATATAAAATAATTACGATCAGAGCAAAAATCAAAGCTCTGTCTCTCCCATAGGTTGCATTAGCCTGCATCTAGCCTAAGGCTATGCAGGTCCTGGGGAGGCTCATTTATATGAGCCAAGTAAACTGTATCTGGGAACAAAAGACAAAGGCACCTCCCCTTCAAAATGGCGATTTGCGATTGAATACCTTGATCATGTAATCTAAGGTTAGACACTCTTGTGTAAGCGAGCAGAGAACAGCAGTAGTTAACTGGTTAGAGCTCAGAGAGCTTCAGAATGCTGCAAAGGAAATTTCCAATGTTAAACCCTTTCAGCAATATACCTAAGGCATTGTCAGAGACCAGGCTGAGGAGTACAGCTCTGATGAGGAATGGTGGGAGCCTCCCCCTCCCCTTGCTCCTGACCAGGATTCTGAAGCTGCCCAGGAGCAGTGGAGCAGTATAGATTTAGAACAGTAGTTTGCAGAGAGGCATAGTTCTGAAGACAAAAGTTGGGAAGAACGGGGGGGGGGGTGAACAGCAAGGTGAAGAAGAATTGGAAGAGAAAGAACTAACAGACTCTCTCTTGCTCGAAAGTGTCGAGCCTATCAGTCCAAGGTCACATAGAGCCAATAAGGTGGCTGTACAAAAAGCACTGTGGTTCTGAAGTCAGGTTACAAGCAGTGGAAGTGACCAGGGAGCAGGGAGGAAGTGGGTGGAAACCTTAGTTGGGAGCACCTTCATTCTGAGATGGACTCTTTGCTCTTTTGCTGTGATCATTAAAAATCTCTTTAAATGGTAAGAGGCAATTTTTGCTTTCTTCTGCTTATCCCACGGCCAAAGGGAGGGAGGAAGTCACTCTTCCGAATCCTGACAGGCACTCTCCATTTCAGTGTGCAATACAACAATTATACTTAACATATGCCCAATGGAAAGAGCTCCACCCTCCCTCTTTCTCCTCTTCCTCCCTCTCTTTCTTTGCCTTGCTGCGCTAATTCTGCTTCTTGTTTCAGAACTTGCCAAGGGAAGATCTGTACTGTCCCCCCATCATCATCAAAGTGATTGACAACAGGCCCTTTGGCCGGAAGCCGGTGGTGGGGCAGTGCACCATCCGCTCTCTCGAAGCATTTTTCTGCGATCCCTACAAGGAGGAGGTCGTGTTCCCTGAAATGCATGCAGGTATGGCAAGCTGGTATGGCAAGGGGGACGCGGGTGGCGCTGTGGGTAAAAGCCTCAGCGCCTAGGGCTTGCCGATCGAAAGGTCGGCGGTTCGAATCCCCGTGGTGGGGTGCGCTCCCGTTGTTCGGTCCCAGCGCCTGCCAACCTAGCAGTTCGAAAGCACCCCCGGGTGCAAGTAGATAAATAGGGACCGCTTACTAGCAGGAAGGTAAACAGCGTTTCCGTGTGCGGTTCTGGCTCGCCAGAGCAGCGATGTCACGCTGGCCACGTGACCCGGAAGTGTCTCCGGACAGTGCTGGCCCCCGGCCTCTTGAGTGAAATGGGTGCACAACCCTAGAGTCTGTCAAGACTGGCCCGTACGGGCAGGGGTACCTTTACCTTTTATGGCAAGCTGGGGAAGGTCAGGCTGGTATTTGATTCATTATTCACAGAGAGAGACATAATAATAATAATAATAATAATAATAATAATAATAATAATAATAATAATACATTTTATTTATACTCCACCCTCCCCAGCCAAGGCTCAGGGCGGCTAACACCAGGTATAAAAACAATTGATTAAAATACAACTTAAAAACAAGATTAAAATACAACATTAAAATGCAGCCTCATTTCAATGGAAACTCAAATCAAAAACTTTTTGGGGATAAAAACGTCAAATCTTCACCAAGGCCAACTATCCAGACTGGTCCTACATGGGCCAGAAAAAAGCTAGGGAAGTCCCCAAATAGGAGTTCCATCACAGAAGGAGAAAGGAAAGAGGGGGAGGGGATCAAGTTGATTCCAAGCCAAAGGCCAGGTGGAACAACTCTGTCTTACAGGCCCTGCGGAAAGAAATCAGATCCCACAGGGCCCTGGACTCATGAGGCAGAGCGTTCCACATAACACTGGTCTTGAAAGACTTACATTGGCTCCCAGTACATTTCTGAGCACAATTCAAAGTGTTGGTGCTGACCTTTAAAGCCCTAAATGACCTCGGTCCTGTATACCTGAAGGAGCGTCTCCACCCCCATTGTTCAGCCCGGACACTGAGGTCCAGCGCCGAGGGCCTTCTGGCGGTTCCCTCGCTGCGAGAAGCCAAGTTACAGGGGAACCAGGCAGAGGGCCTTCTCAGTAGTGGCACCCACCCTGTGGAACGCCCCCCCCCCCCCACCACCAGATGTCAAAGAGATAAACAACTACCAGACTTTTAGAAGACATCTAAAGGCAGCCCTCTTTAGGGAAACTTTTAATGTTTAACAGACTACTGTATTTTAATACTTTGTTGGAAGCCGCCCAGAGTGGCTGGGGAAACCCAACCAGATGGGTGGGGTATAAATAATAAATTATTATCCTTTTTCTTAGGTTCTTATGTCCTTAAAAGAGTCTCCTGAACTGGGAAATAGGAGAATGGGCTTGTTGTGATTTGCACACGATTCCAGTCCTGCCTCCCCGCACTCTGCAAATCTCACTTATTTTGTATTTCAGATGACGTGAGCCTCACTCCAAGGGATGACGTCCTCATTGATATTGATGACAAAGAGCCTCTCATTCCAGTCCAGGTAATCACTCTGCAAGAAAATTAAGGCTAACCTTTCTGGTTTATAGCTCAGAATACAAGCTGGAATTGCGAAGGGGTGCTTAGATCCAGAGCACACAAATCACATTTTTCATCAAATGAAAGCAGCAACAACCCCTAAAAGGTTGCTAACCAGGAGCAGTGGATGTTGGTGTCCTGTTCCACTGTTACCCCTCGTCTGAGGAGACTTCTGATTCAGGGTGTGGGCATGGTTGGACCCCGATAGAGATGTGTTGGTGTTGCCCACAAGTGAAAAGTCTGCCGGGGTGAGTCAAGCTCATTGAGAGCCCTTGGCTGCCAATCTCCCCCTCTCAGCCTTCCCTACTTCATAGGGTTATTGTATGAATTTTCATGATTTTTTAAATGAAAATTAGGAGGGAAGTTACCAGGTGTGCTGCCTTGATCTCATTTGGTGGGGGGCAAAGAAGGACTATGAATGCTGATGGACAAATAAGGAGATTCTGGGATTAGTGAGGAAATAATAATAATAATAATAATAATAATAATAATAATAATAATAATAATAATTATTATTATTATTATTATTATTATTATTATTTATACCCCGCCCTCCCCGGCCAGAGCCGGGCTCAGGATGGCTAACACCAATAAAATCACAGTAAAAACATAATAGGGGAAAAAGAGAGGGGGGGGAAAACCAATTTAAAATACAGGTTAAAATGCAATTTAAAATGCAGCCTCATTTTAAAGTAGCCCATAGATCAAGACCATAAGGGGAGGGAAACATAAGGGTCAGACTGAGTCCAAACCAAAAGCCAGGCGGAACAGCTCTGTCTTGCAGGCCCTGTGGAAAGATGTCAAGTCCCGCAGGGCCCTGGTCTCTTGTGACAGAGCGTTCCACCAAGTCGGGGCCAGTACTGAAAAGGTCCTGGCCCTAGTTGAAACCAATCTTACCTCCTTGAGGCTCAGGACCTCCCAAGTGTTGTTATTTGTGGACCTTAAGGTCCTCCCTGGGGCATACCAGGAGAGGCTGACCCGTAGGTACGTGGGTCCTAGGCCGCAGGTTAAGTACACACAGCCATGAAATATTGTACATAAAAAACCCCACAGAGATGTAGGGAAAAGGCATTGGGCCCCTAGAATTAAATGTGAAAGGAAAGCCTTTAAGGCATTTCCAGTTGTCGATCTACAGGATTGAGGACTCTGCTGGGCATGTATCCCCTGCCCAGGGTGGTCTGTCAGCTGGCATGCCTTCTCCTGTTCATTCCCCCTCTTGGGCCAAAATTGACCTCCCTGATTCAGGGAGAAGTGAAGAGTCAGGGATTTCCCATGAGGGGGCACCCCAAGTCCCCCACCCTCCTTTTCTCCTATTCCTCTTCCTGAATGATATAGGAGGCTACCATAATGGCTGAGTTCAACTGGGGTTTCAGGCAGGGTCTCTTTCCTATGGAAATGCAGACCTACCTGGAGATGCCAGGATATGAATTGTGCCAGTGTGGTATAGTTGTTAGAGAGACTAGAACCTGGGAGATCGAGGTTCGAATCAGCAATGGGTGACCTGGAGCCAGTCAGTCTCTTCCTGTGACTCCAGCTTACTCTTCCATCTGATGCCTTACCTTAGAGTCTTTATAATAATAATAATAATAATAATAATTTATTATTTGTACCCCCATCTGGCTGGGTTGTCCATCTGCCTGGGTTTCCCCAGCCACTCTGGGCGGCTTCCAAGAAAGATTAAAAATACATTCAAATGTCACACATTAAAAACTTCCCTGAACAGGGCTGCCTTCAGATGTCTTCTGAAATGTCAGGTAGTTGTTTATCTCTTTGACATCTGATGGGAGGGAGTTCCACAGGGCGGGTGCCACCACCGAGAAGGCCCTCTGCCTGGTTCCCTGTAATCTCACTTCTCACAATGAGGGAACTGCCAGAAGGCCCTCGGCGCTGGACCTCAGTGTCCGGGTAGAACGATGGGGTGGAGATGCTCCTTCAGGTCTGGACCAAACTTGTGCTTCACCTGAGCATCCAGAAGGCATTGGTGCCTCTTCTAGTCTGAACAACCGCTAGGTGAGGCCATCTTCATCCAAGCAAGCCCTGTCCAATTTCCAGGCCACTCTTGCTTGCCTCAAGATATGTTTCTCCATTGTGAATGGGGACGAGAGGACCACGGACATCCTCAGATGCTGGATCAGTTTGGAGTGGCTTTGAACACTGCTCAGGACAAGATGTTCCTGTCCCAGGACAGTCAGGAAGAGGTCAAGGATCAGGCTCTCCAAGTGCTTCTTTCGGAGTGCAGATACCTCACGCCGTTGTCAGCATTCCTGGGAACACTCACGTCTTGCCAGGAAGCTCCTTTTCATGCCAGTTCTCTCCAGAGGCTCCTCCTTCCCTTTGAGCTGGACACAACATCAGCAACAGGAAGCCCTGTTCCCTTTCTCTCATCACCCCAGTCAGGGACAGCTTGTGTTGGTTCCTAGCCTGTCGTGACCCCGGAGTCCAGCAGCGCTCAAGACAAAGAGTCAGAGAGGCTGCAGAGTCATCTGGCTAAACCTTAGGATGAACCTTCTGCTGGCAAGAGCTGCTTGAGGCGGGTATGGACTCCCTTGGAAGGCAGTGGACTCGCCTTCCTTGGAGGTTTCTAAGCAGAGGTTGGATGGCCACCTGTCATGGAAGCTTCAGTTGAGATTCCTCCATTGTGGGGGGTTGGACTAGATGGCCCTTGGTGACCCCTTCCAATGCTACACTTGTATGATTCTAAGAAGTGAGATGGGATTCCTGACTCTGACTCTGACGCTTGTGACCAGGAGCCCCCACTAAATCAAGCGCTGGTGGGCATCCCCTGGAACAAATTCAACGGACCAACATGGGTGTCTTCTACTGGACCCCTAACCTACCTCCTGATAAATAAATAAAATAAATAAATCTTTATTTATACTCCGCCTTTCCTGGTTCAGAAAACTGAGCTCAGGGCAGCTAACAACAAATTTAAAACACTTAATTGATGCAACAAAACCAGCATAAAATACAGTATAAAACGTGAATAACAATAAATTCAGAATTAAAAAATCAATTTAGGGGGGAAATCCACCCAATAAACATTAGATGATCACCAGGGCTAGCTGGCTAAATTAGTCCTATTTGGGCCAGCAAGGAGACCAGGGGAGAATTAGCTGTGGGATCCCAGAGCAGGGAGTTAAGGAAGGGGAATAAAAGATCAGGCTAAGTTCAAATTGAAAGCCAGGCGGAATAGCTCTGTCTTACAGGCCCTGCGGAAGGAGGCTAAATCCTGCAGGGCCCCTGGTCTCATGGGACAGAGCATTCCAGCAGGTCAGAGCTATCACTGAGAAGGCCCTGGCCCTGGGGAGGATAGTCTGACTTCCTTAGGGCCCGGGACCTCTAAACTATGGTTATTCATGGACGTTAAGGTCCTCTGCGGGGCAGACCAGGAGAGGCTGTCCTGATGCAACAGCACAGGGAGTGCACCAGATTGGAGGCTAACGGGTGCAGAAGGTCAGGCACATGGCCTTTAAGAGGCTCCGTTCCTTCAAAAGTGGGGCATGTCATGAGGAAAGTGCCTTGAGAAAAGCTACCCCACCCTTTCATAATACTAGAAAAGAATTCCAGGCCTGGTGGGCCATTGGCCTTGTCCAGGAGGCTCTGTTCTTCGGGAGCCTTAGAGAGAGGGACTGGAAGCAGAGGCTGAAGAGGCCACCTCCAATCCTTCTCAGAGCAGGTTGCTGATCAGGAGCTCTCCATGGTGCTGCCTTGCCCTGTGGGCTACATGGCCAGGCCAGAGATGGGCATAACCAGCCTGGCAGGCTGGCTCAGATGATGCCTTGGGATGCCTCCCATGATTGAGGAAGGTCTATTGTGTTGAGGGGCCCACTCTGAAGAACGTGTTGATGTGAGGGTTCTTGGGTGGCCAGCAAGCACACAGCAACATGACTCAGGAAGTAGAGAAGAAAATGACCAGGTCAAAGGCAGAGTTGGGAAATAAGGAAGAAAGAGGGTGAGATGACAGAGGCAGCCCTGAGATACCCCAGACCTGGACCTTTTAGGCTTCAAAGACCAGCACTTCAAACAAACAAACAAACAAACAAACAAACGCGTCAGATTTTGTGATGTCATGTTGGATGAAGGGCTTCACTTCTGGGGCAAGTCATGACTCTCTCCTGGACCAGATTGGTTCCATCTGGTGGATGGGAAGAGAGTCGTTCAAGCTGAGCTCTGCCTGAGCACTTCTCCACACGCAATGCCATATCCCCGGCACATGGAAGCTGCCACGTGGCCTTTATTACGTGGAAATTGCTTATGACTTCATCCCTGTCCATTGGTGGGGAAACAAACAATCCCTGCTCCCTTCCTTCAGCAGCCCTTTCATCAGGCAGCCAGAAAGGGTGTTTTTGTGTTTTGTGTGTGTGTGTGTGGCGCGCGCGCAACTGACGCCCTTTTACTTAGAAGGGGAGGGGTCCTCTCCCGCATTCCTCTGGGTTCTGCCTGGTATTATAGCTGAGAGATGGTGAGCGACTGGGGTCTGGCAAGCCTCTTGGGACTCCACTGTGGCTTCCTTTGAAGTGGCATCTCTCCCCACCCACCCCCAGTCTCCGTTAAGAGGACCATAACCTATGAGGCTTAAGTGGAGCTGATCAGATCCTTCTGTGGAAAGTTGCAACGCCAGTTCTCTTTCCAACAGGCAGTCTCTAGGAGTTTTCTGCTGCATCGCCTTTGAACTTCAGAAGATTCAGGAGATGCAAAAAGGAAGGGACTTAGAACTGTAGGGTTGGGAGGGGCCCCTTTCTGGCAATTGGAATCCTCAGTGTGTGGTGCAACTATGGGATTTGCTTCCAGGAGGGTCTGTGATGGTCACCAAACTTGGATGGCTTTCAAGATGATCAGGCCGTTAATGGAGGATGAGGCTAAGCTGTTGCAATGGGACCTGTGGGTGGCCTTCCATGGGCAGCTGGTTGGCCACTGGGGAGAACAGAAGCCTGGCCAGGTGGACTTCAATCTGAGGCTGTTCTTGTGTTGCTCACTTTGTCTCAGGGCAGAGCTTTAGACAGA